AGAACACGAGACGACGAGAGAGACGAGAGAGAGAGAAGAAGAAGAAGAGAGAGAAGAGAGAGAGAGAGAGAGAGAGAGAAGAAGAAGAAGAGAAGAAGAAGGAAGGAAGGAAGGAAGGAAGGAAGGAAGGAAGAAAGAAAAAGAGATTACAGGAACAGCATGGAAGAATGGCAGTATGGAAATCAAGGCCATCCTTTAGAATATAATTCCCATATACCTTGGTCTCAACGAGTCTTGTCTTTGGCCTTCCGTGAGATCTTTTGAAAGGATCATTTTCAACAACTCATTCAGTTCTTTAAGGCATTTAAATCCGTTAGTTCCCAGGAAGAAGAGGCCTAGCATACAGTTCAAGAGTGCTGTGTGCTGATCTTTTCCTTGGTAACTTCGATCTGGTCTTCAGGTTTGGTACCCCGAGGATATAAACGCAACTGGGGGAAATGTTTTCACTGCCACAGACCTTTAACTGCATAAATTAGAATAACTATATAAGTGCTACCAGTAATTAGGACACTACAAAGGGGAGACTTATGAAGATACATTGCAAAGAAAACAATTATCGTAAATGACTATATGTAAAAGTTTAGAAAGTGAATGAGTCACAACTATTGCTTTTCTCTAAAATTCACTCTCTAGCTCTGAACCTAACCACTCTCATTTACTCGGTCCTTTTCTAATAAGAAGCATCTAAAATGAAAGTAGCACATTCAGCTCATTGGAAAGACTTTTCCAATAAGTAACACAATTTCTTACTGTTCTAATAATCAAAACATATATATTTTCAGCATCTCATGCCCTTTGTTTAACTGCTGTGGTTAGAGTTCTTTCGGGAGGTTTTTAGCTGCTGTCTAGAACTTCCAAAATAAGAAACATATCCCATTTCCTAACCTGAGTTGATTCAGTGGGTACTTCTTTTACATGCTTTGTTAAAGAGAGATGTTTTTTATCTGACATCATAATGACAAGATTTTGTCTCAGTGATACTTTACCTATCTGATAATCTGATCATGCATGCTGGCTTTGATAAAGTGAGTAATGGTATAACTAAGATCTTTAAGCTAGGCTAGCAGGAAACACAGGAAAAAGAAAATAGTTCAAGGCCACAGTAGAGTTTTATCAAGTTTTTCAGGGCTAGCATCACAGCAGAGTCTATCAGAGATTTTTAAAAGATTAAAAAATTTAACGAAAATAAATTCATTTAACTGTTGCATATAAATTTTGATATATGGTGATCATGTAAGATTGCCAATTGCCCTCACCAGGCATCCTCCTTCCTCTTTCTATTCATATAACCAGTGGTCCTCATCCGCTGGTGATTTTGTCCCATGAGAACATATGGCACTGTCTGGAAAAATTTCTGGTTGCCACAATTGTGTGGGGGTGGTTTCTATTAGTGTCTAGTAGGCAAAGGCCAGGAATGCTACTAAACATTCTAGAATGCACAGGACAGCCCTGACAACAAAGGATTATCCAGCTCAAAATGTCAATAGTGCCACTGTGGAGACATCCTGATGAAAACCTAGTTTGTATGTGGGACAAAGGTAATTTTATCCAGTTAGCAAGACTTCCTAGTATGAATGGCCAGGCTTTCTTAGCCAGGTAAAAAAAAAAAAAGTAAGTAGGTCAAAAATAAGTTGTAAGGAGGCAAATATTTTCAAATATTCAATTGCAAATCAACAAAGCCAAGTGCACCTCTCTGCAAAAGCAGTGCTTGACTGCTCTCCGGCTAAAAAGGAGAGTGGTTTGTTAAGCTTGCTTTTGATTTTCTTACTGCGCCCTCTATTTTGCAAAACTAATGTAGGACAGCTAACTCCTCACGTTCCAGGTGTGGACAGATGAGGGAAACAAAGCCTTGTCCTCTGAGTCTGCAAGGCACAGCAAAGGAAAGCAATGGTTTTGCTCCCAGGTGGTAGTGCTGCACAGGAACTTGGGGTCATCCTGAGTGACAGGGCACCGACAGCTGCCTGAATCGAGGTTAATCTCTCCACTCCCCGTCTCAACACAGTCTTTAGGCAGTTAGCAGAACAGCTCCTCCACTTCTTTTCTTCTTTGGGGCTGCCTTTGATGTGCACCTGAAGCCAAATCTAGCAGTTGTTTGTCCTGGACCACAGAATGACAGGAACAGCTCTTCTGCTTGCAGAAAGCACAAAGCAAAAATCTATTGTCTGTGGACAGGGGAACAAGGAAGAGCAGGAGAGGGATGCCTATCAGTATGGGCATCTGTGTCCAGATACCAGAGGCTTTTGAAAAGGCTTTCTCAGGTGCAAAATCTTGGTTCACTTGTCTTGGCCACTCTTGGCAATACTGTCTCAAGGGAGTTCATTTGGTAGGCCCCTATACTTCTTTGGAACCTAATTTTCTTTCAACATACATGTGTAAATGTTAACTCAGCAAAATGGGCCTCTGTGAGAAATGCTGGTTTCTCAGATCATCACGGATGAAGCAGTTAGTGTTTTCAGTTTCAGCTGGAAAATATACCTCTTTAAATATGAATATTATTTTTTTCCAGTAAGTTAAGCCGGTTGTGGTCAAAAAGAAGAGAAAAGAAAAAACTTCAACAAACATGAACATGTGGTTTTCAAGGAAAAAAAAAGTGCTATAATTAACATTTATAAATAGTTTCTATTAAATAAGCATTTTGGCAAACATATGTAAAGGACACTATCTCGCCCTTATGAGAGGCAAGCTGCTCTGATATAAGGAAACCAGATAAGCTGGTTCTCGGCTTGTGGCTACGTATGCAAAGCAAATCTGACGGGGTTGTGCCTTAAAGATGCGTGTTATTAATCGACATTCATATTGGGTAACCATATAGGTTGGAAAATGCAAAGCAGGCCAGATGCTATTTTCAGCTGATTGTCCATGAGAAGACTCAGGTAATATTCTTATATATGGGATGGCACTGGTAGGAACTGAGGGAAACTGAGGCTTCTGGTTATACAGCAGTGGCTTCCAAACATATTAGTGAAATGAAGACATAGCAACTTTGCAAGGGGAAATTGCATCATATACACACAGTTGCTGAAAGAAGAAAGTAACTTGGATACAAATTCTTAGATCAGCATTAAAATATTTTCAATAAGTTAGTATAAATTTTGTTTTTCCAATATATACCATATCATTTGCAGTTCAATTTCTAAGACTTGTACTTATTCACTTGGTCACTAGAAATATCTCTCATTTAGATGCAAATCTAAAGAAAATGAGCATGGCTTTAGAAAAGATGGGTATTTTGGTGACTGAGACAGAAGAACTGGCAGAGAATATACTCAAGTGGCAAGAACAAGAGGAGGAAGTTTCCTCTTTTATCCCCAGAATATTAGCTGAAGAAAATTTTCTCAATAAACATGATGTTATAATTCCAAAAAAGAAAAAAAAAAAACCCAAAACAACCTAGTAATTCAACTAAACCAAGAGTCAAATTTTGGATTCTTGTTCTGTCCACCTCTCCATGCTCTGAGACGTTACTCCTACTTTCTGAGGGGCGGTCTTCCCTCTCATTAGTGGGGCAAGTCTCGAATTTTGTTCCTCAACTGCTTGATTCAGGCAGAATCCCACCCTAACTGACCAGAGAGTATGGATAGGATTTTAGAAAAGTCAAGCATGGGATATAGCAGGTGTACTGAATCTTACATTTGGAATATGCCATCTGAGGTAGGTAACCACTTCCTATCCCCAAAGGAGGTGCTTTAACTCACTTACCCCATTTGCTGACTTCACAGATATTTGTTGAGCACTCATGAGCAACAAGACACTATGCCAGGTGTTGTACAGGATGAGGACATACATGCTCAAGCCACGTATGTCACTGTTAGATACTCTTATGTCCAACGCAGAGAGAAACAAAAAACAAATGAAAAAATTTTTTAATCAGACTACAGCTGCCAACAGTCATAATGTAACTCTTAAAGCCTCATAGTTCATAAAGTGTGTTCTAAAACCAAACTAACTCTCCCTTATGAAACACCAAAGTCCTTCCCAACACCCAGACCTCAAAATGACATTAGGAATAAAGAACTGTGGCAAAGTGAGGCTCCCTCCTCTTGTCTGTGAGACAGGGAGATGTCCTCTCTTCCCTAACACAGGGAAATTTTACATGGCAGGGAGCTCATTCTCTTCAGCCCCCGAAGTAAGAAGGAACATGAAATCATTCCTCATTTGTCTGCTGAAATGAATGGGATCCAAGACATTGTAGTAGGAGTACAAAAGGAGGATTGGGAAGGTCATTTTCACTTTTTGAATAACTTTCATTAACACGTACACGAATTATTTCTCTTTCAGAGACACTGTGAGTGGTCAGCTTTTTCGTGTTTCCAGAAGATCCAACTAAAGTCAGCAAATGCGGGAGATAAGGAAAAGATAATCAATATATTAACTAAGCAGCTGAAGAGGAAACTACCTGCCACGAATGCAAGGAGAACACAGAAACATGGACTAGTAAGATTATCATTTGTCATCTTTCTCATTTGTACTTATTAACTGTATTTATTACATTATATACAGGCGCGCTTGCATGCCCATATAGCCAGAGCCCTCGGTGCCTTCCTTCCAGTTACATGTTACACCTTATCATATATAGTGTGTTTCAAGAAGCAAAGTCACCTCTTTTCAGTCTACAGACTTGAAAGTGCCTAGAAACCCAATTAGAATTTGCTGACAGTCTCTGATACACAGAATAAATTAATATAGCTTTCCAAGGTGAGGAAGTCAGGCAGAGAATCCAACTGTGACTTAGGGATTAAAAAATATTTTCCTCTCATTATACGATTGCATATAACTTGTATTCTTATTAACAGGAGCTAGATCCTAGTTTTCCTACAAGAAAAGAGACAGCCTACAAGACACCAGGATAAATCTCAGACTTTGCCTTCCTCTCTTAAAGAATATTACCATCCTGTACAATTTTGGAGTCATTTCAATGGGTAGACGCCATTATTTGGCTGGGGAATTTCAATTGTCCCTAGCTTTTTGGGGCCCTGAGACCCTGTTGTATATTTCCTCTTATGCCAACTCATGAGAAAAGCTGATAATCTCATGAGTAATTAAAGCATTAAACAAAACCAGTTAATAAACCTATAAGATAAATTACTCAAACTTTAAAAAATCAGTTCTCTCTCCTCCAAGGAATTTCACATGCAGTTCAAATGAGATCTTAAGACAATAACAAAATTTTTACTTACTTTGATTGCTTGGCCAGGTTGCAATGTGAAATGTATTCCTCTAAAACTTTCCTCAGGAAGAAGGGGGCTGAGCATGAAATCTAGTATCAAAGACACATGAAATGGTAGTATCGCACTGGACTTAGAACTATCTGGTTAAACACCTTCATTTGATAGATAGGAAAACGAGACCAAAGATGTTAAGCGACTTGTCCCAAGCCCCATTAGTAAGTGCCAGAGTGAGAATTAGAACTTCTGGTCTTTTACTTTTCAGTCAACTATCTCTCACCACATCAAACCAGCATTAGAGATGCTAAGCAGCAAGCAATGGCCTGGTGTTTGGTCTCTCAACAGGAATAAGGATAAAGAACACAAACCAATAATATTTTTTAAAGACATGTAACTGAGGAATACACATATTAAAAATTGTTTAATCTCCCCATAGTCAAATAAATGCAAGTTAAGACAGGAAATTCTATTTTTTTCCAATTAAAAATTTTAATGATACCCAGTAATGGTAAGAATGTTCTCTGTAAATAGAGGTAAAAGTTTTACCATGTGCATCAAAAGCCTTAAAAATTTTTATCTTTTTAATTTAATTTAGCAATTCTACTTCTAGTAATTTATCAAATAAAATAAAGATGTATGTGAAAAATTATTCAGAGACGTTCACTGCAGCATTGTATACAATCGTGAAAAGTTAGAAGAAATCTATGTGTCCAAAAACAGTAATACTTCACTCCTACGTAGGAATGCAAGGCAACCATTATGGGTCATATTTTTGAAGAATATGTAACACATAGAAAATGCTTGTGATATGTTAAGTGTAAGAAATCAAATTAATAACCAGTGTAAATAACATAAGTGAAAAGAAAAAATTACTGGGAGGACATATATCAGAACATTGCAGTGGTTATATCTGAGGATGGGATTACAAGCGATTTTTCTCATTGTTATTTTTTGAACAATTTTAAGTACTTCTCAAAGTTTTTCAGTGAACGTGATTTATGTCTCCAACTGGAAAAACAAGCTTTGAATAAACATTTTATTAAATAGGAAAAAAGCTTTAAAGAAGATTATTATTCTTTCATTGATTTCTAGACATGCCCTTCATGTGATTCTTATGAGAAAAAACCACCCAAAGAATTCCTAGAAAGACTGAAATCACTCATCCAAAAGGTATATAACTTAAATTATATCTGACTGTCAAGTTCATCTTTATCCAGATTGCTTCCTATACTTGGGTTACTCATGGTATACTATTTCCACAGATGATCCATCAGCATCTCTCCTAGAACATGTGGAATACGAAGGTTGCAGAAGATCTCACTTGAAGCTGGACACTATATTACAGACTCTAACACAGTAGTGAAATTCACTTCTTGGTATTCCAAATGGAGGAGTACGACATATTAGTGATGGGGGAAAAACTCAGATAAGTGTTCAAAGTCAGGATTATTTACCCCAAATCACTATGCAGTACTTCAGTTTGATCCACACACTCTGTGTTTGGTCAACTTGAAAAGACTTTGTTCTCAATTAGAGTCTGATTTCCTGTGTTATAGGTTTTGATGACTTCTAAAGTTTTAACTTGATCTTACTGCCCAACTATGACATCTCTTGGAGAAGCTTAAAATTTTTTAGCCAAAAATACAATTTGGGGATTTATTGATCTTATATTCCCCTTGATCTTGATTACCACAAGAATGAGGTTTCTGATGATCATAACTTAGAAGTTCTACACCTTCACTCAAGGGGAAAAACACAGAAGTATAGGGTGAAAATCAAAGTTGAACATTTATTCTTTTAAGAAAATGAAAACTGAGTATTTAAAATCTATATATGAAGAGGTTTTTCCCTCAGAATGTCTAACATATGATTTATTTATGTACCAGGAAGATAGCTTTACGAGATGGCTCAAAAAAACTCTGACTTCTTTATTGGGATTTATCAAAATATTTAAATACTATAGACATGAATGTATTTATGGAATAGACTCTTTCAGTCTCTTTTTCTCTAAGTGGGTGTAATAGTACCTTCCGCAACTTAAGTCCCTTTATAAGCTAACATTCTAAGCTTATGGAAATGGCAATTAAAATTTATAGAGGGACATACATTAGGTGGTCTTCTGGAACCAAACAGAATTTTTCTAAGTCTTGTGGCTCTCTTCCCCAATTGTTATAATGATTGTATGGGAGTGAGCTAATCATGCCAAACGTCTATTTCCTTCCTTCTTTCTTCCTGCCTTTTATTTCATCTTTTTAAATTGGCGGACACTTTGTGTTTGCATGCTCTATATAAGGTAAATCACCTCTACAAAACCAAAATCAAGAGACAAATCAAGAGGCCAGGACTCCTGTCCTAGTAGAAAACAGACCTTTGCATAAGCATCCCCGTCTTTTCAACCATGGGTAGTAGAAACAAGCAGCCTGCTCTAACTGCCATTTCATATCAACTCCAGCAGTTTATTTAAATATACAGTTAAAAACGCTAGAAAAATAAAATTTTCACTAGACTGTTATAAGCTATTTGAGAATCTCTTATTGTAAAATGGCTGAGTGTACAAGAGGATGTTGAATGGGAAATACTTTATGCTTTGAGAAGAAAAATGATCTACTTAAAAATATTTTTTAAACAAGTACAGATTAATTTATGGTTCTAAAACATATGTTAGAAATCAATGATTCTATGAAATCTCAATGAAATGTTTTATCCTCAGAAATAAGGTATGCTGTGCTAGAATTTTAAAATGTTATTACAAAGGAGTCATGTAAACACATGCACCACGATGACAACATGTATCTACAGCCTGCCCCAGAGTCAGGCCAGGTTGTTGGGATTAATATGGAAAGTAAGCACGAGGTTGACTTGGGAAAGATGGAGTCCTTATTTCTTGTTTCTGGCTTTACCATTGTTGATTTCTTTCACACTGTGATTTTATATTTAAAATAACATATTTATTTTGGTGTGTTAACTGTTAAAAATCTCTGTTCTAATCCTTTCAACCAGAGATTCTACTTTAAAAATAAAATTAATTTAATGGATTGCTGGCTAAAAGCCTTCACTAAACTGAGTTTAAAGACTCGGCTAAAGACCCTAGCGACATCCCAAGGAAAGCAATGCATCAGAATAAACAAGATGAAGAAGTGAGACTTGAACTGCTCCATCTTCACTGCTCTGTGTTCAAGACCTAGTCAGCCCTCCAAAAGGATCTTAGGCTAACCTGTAAGCATTGCTGTTCACCTATGGATGGTGGTGCAGGAGACTGGAAATCTCGCTGGCTGTGAAATTGTGGTCATTTCCTTAAATTTTTTGGTTTCCATTTCTTTATCTGTAGAGTGAGGGTGTTGGACTTAATCTCTAAGGAATATTCTGCCTTTTTTTGAGCTTTATATGTCTATGAGTATCTGAAGTACTGGATATTCTTATAGGAACATCTGATCATACTCCCGAGTAAAACTTTCTACTGAACCTGATGTTCATTTGCTCAACATTATTTCAATAGCAGGAAGAAGGGACATGTTTCCCCCCAAAAAAGGAAGGAAGGAAAAAATAAGGAAGGAAGGAAGGAAAGAAGGAAGGAAAAAAGATTGCTGTAGGTCATGGGAGTTCAGGAAAAATTAATCATGATTTTTACCATTTTAGCTCAAAGTGTCTTCTTTGGACACGTATAAAATTGTAGCATTATTATTCTATATTATTGCTCTGTTGTATTTACATTTGCATTTGAGAATTTAGTTTAATATAAACTATGTACTTTATAACTTAATGATTATTTATTATATATTTGGTTTTAAATGTTTATGTTCATGGCTTCATATTTAAGACCTGATCATATTAAATACTACCCAGTCAGTACTACTGTCTTTTGTGATTCCCTGGAAACCCATAATTCAATAGTCTTAGCAGAAAATAAAAGATGATCCTTAGTTTCTGTCAACATATAGTTTTTACATGTATATGGTAAAGACGATCTTTTCTCCTTACATAATTTCACTGAAATGGAACTTTCCAATTCCTGTCCCTACCTCAAGGACACTTCCTTTGCAGCCCTCGTAAATGTATGGCAGGTCCAAGAGGAGTTGAAGATCTCCTTCCCAATGCCCATTACACGTACACTCTTGTGCAAAATTCATTCCTGCTTTGAAGTTTATACCATCTAGCTTGGCTCTCCCCTTACTTCTTATTGAGGATTGTCAACTCCTCCATGAACTCTTCCATGTTCTTTGAAGACTGAGACAAGTTCTTTTTCTTGAATCCGGATTCTACCAACATCCTGGGTGATTTCAGTGACCACGAGGAGGATTCCACAACACTGTAGCTTCTCAGAATCATGAGCGGCTCAGTTCCAAACATCTGCATGTTTTACCCCATCATCAGACCCCTCCCATGACCATGCACCAGACTTCATCACCTGGAACCATTCTCTGTCTGAAATCTTTACATATATAAAAACACCCACCTGCTAGGCTCTTTGCTCTCAAACTGCCCTACTACATCTTCCCTGAGGCTCGATCGCGACAGCCAGGCCTTCACCCTTTCCATTCTCTCAGTTCATTAGCTTTCCTCTCTCCCCAACTGATCCTGGGCCCCTGATCAATTCCTTGAACTGCAAACCTGGCAGCACACACAAGCTCATTCTTCTTGACGACCTGCCTATAAACTCCTGACCTAGATGTCTGTCTTGCTCCTCTAGTCCAGCTTCAGACCCTGGCTCTGGCCTATTTCCTTTGGAGACCCTTTCAAACTCCCTTATCTGACTTACTGGAGTCACTTTCCCACTTCATTCTCAGCTCTAAACACTTACTTGCTTTCAACAGCTGCCTCCATCTACTCCAGTCCACAGGTAAGTGTGGGCATGGCCTCACTTCACGTGGAGGAGAGAGGTTTGGGTATTCACGTGACCTTAATTTAAGCTTATTCAAAGCGTAGTCTATGCATGTGTCTACACTCCCTCACCTTCTATCCACTTCAAACCACTATAGTCTGATTTCTACCCATCCCACACCCTATCTCTGTATCATTAAAATTGTCCTTTCTTTGGTCAACAATGACCTCCAAATTACTCAACTCGCAAATGCATCTAAATCCTTACCTTATTTGATTTGACTGTGACCTTTGCTGTCTTTGATTATACTCTCTCATTCCCCTTTTTGACTCTGGAGGCTACTCTTCCTTCTGCTTCTTGTCTTACCTCTCTGACCATACATTTTCAGTATCAGTTGTAGGTTTGCTTCCCTGCATCCTCCCCTTAGAAGATAATGTTCTTGAGGATACTGTCCTTGGCCACCTTTTCACTTTAAACCTTTTCCCGCAACAGTCGAATAAGTTCCTGTTGTTTTAAATACCCCTGTATATGCCACTGACCCTCAAATCTATGGATAAAGGCTATTTCTTTCTTCTAATTCCCAGGCCCATAGATCCAACTTCTCCCTGGAGATTTTCATCTTTATCTTCCAGGCCCTTCACCTAATCTCACATGCCAAAATTGATCTCATTACTTTTCCCCATTTCTATGACTTTCTCTGTTTTCCAGCATTGCCTAATCTTGTTTTTCCATTTCTATCAGTTTTTAATTTTTCTTTTTTTTAGAATTATTTTTTATTGAGGTAACTGGTTTATAACATTATATAAGTAAAATGTGTACAATATTATATTTCTACTTCTGTATACACTACAGCGTGCTCACCACCAAAAATTTAGTTACCACCTGTCGCCATACAGTTGACCCCCTTTATCCATTTCGCCTTCCCCTTCCTGCCCCTTCCCCTCCAGTAACCACTATTCTGTTCTCTATATTGTGTTTTGTTTGATATGCTCACATATTTTGATTTTGGTTTGCTTTTCTGTTTTTTATATTCCACATCTGAGTGAAATCATATTGTATTTGTCTTTCTCCGACTGACTTATTTCACTCAGCATAAATACCCCTAAGGTCCATCTGCACTGTTGCAAAAAAAATAAATAAATAAGTAAAGATTCCATCCTTTCATCCTTTTTATGGCTGAGTAGTATTCCACAGATATATACACCACATCTTCTTAATCCATGCATCTGTTGATGGGCACTTGGGTTGCTTCTGTATCTCGGCTATTGCAAACAATGCCATGATGGCAGTATTCTCTAATCTTAATTGATGGGAATGCATTTCCCAGCCTCCAAGACTCTGCCTTCTCTCTCATACACTATAACCAATTAGCTACTGGGCTTTGCTATTTCTAGCTCTTAAATCCACCTTTTTCCTACTCCTTCTGCCATTGCCTTAATTCAGGTTTTCAGCAATAACTTTTGGTTGGATTTTTAGCCTCTTGCCTTCTTCTCTTTCCAATCTATCTCTGCATGGCCACCAGAATGATACTTTATAAAATTTAAGTCTGATCACAACTCTCCATTATTTAAAACCTTTCACTGGCTCTCCTTTGGATAGCCCAGGAATGAAACAGGGTATGTAAAACCCTTTATCATCTGCTCCACTCAGTTCCCAGCCTCTCTTCACCTTGAACTTCAGATTCCAGCCAATCCAATCTACTTCTATTTCCATGGACACATCATGCTGTTTTGTTTCTCTGTGCCTTTGTACTTGCAGTGACCTCCCCCTGGAACACTACTTCTCTACCCTCTTCCTTAGCACCCAGAAAACCCCTCATGTGTCCATC